CTTTGAGACCGAAGCGCTTTTGTTCAAATCGTTTTGAAAAAGTATTTCATTCCTGCCTTGAAATTACTAAATTGTGGAGGAGCGGTGCCTGATGTTGCACGTTGTCCTCTCGGGTCTGGTTTTCAGGCCGGCGGAGGGTGACACAGCGTTGTGAAGGAAGAGGTGACGCTGTGCTGGGTCGGGTAGCTTGTTCTGCTGAAATAAGGCGGCAGCTGCGAGGACGTTTTTTACCCCCTTAACCACGAGGGAGAGCCAGTCTCTTTGGGTAACGCAGAAGAATCGGTTGTTGGCCAAAAGAAACCCAAGTCTGTACTTCTAATGCTGTGCTGGTGTTAGTTGGGACAGAGTAAATTTACTTTCCAGTGCTACTACGAGGCTGTGTTTTGGATCTGTTGGCAAATGCGAAGTGTAGAATTGCCCCTCCTTGCAGTGTGCTTAGCGTATTTAAGACTGCCAGACTTTTTCTGGAGTGCCTGTGGTTTCAGCCACAGGTTTGGTGGGGTCAGGGCGGGGAGAGATGCTGATGGTGTCTGCGGCTCCCGCTGTGCCAGACCTCTCATGTCACTGGGATACATTTGCTTGCTATCAGCTTGGAAGAGGCAACTTCCCGCTGACTGATCTGCCCTCTGTCTGTTCAAGATACTGGGAGCGCTGGTCGCGGCCAGCTTCGCAACGTCTCTCGAGATGCCGCCTCTGGGCTTCGTTGCTCGTCTCTGACAGAGTAAGACGCGGGTCAGCCGGAGCCGCGAGGCTCGTCGTGGAAAAGTTCGCATCACGCCTTTAATGGCATTGAGGGGAAAGCGGGAGAGCAGATGGCTCCAATACGTAGTTGTTGGTTTTGTTCTAGGAGTGTCTCCTTTTTTCAGGGTGGCAGGAGGGGAGAGGGTATTGTAAAGCCAGGAAGTGAGGACTTCAGAGGTTTTGGAACCCCCAAAGTTATCTCAAAACAAAGTATTTGCCACATCTTGAAAAATACATATTCTATAGGGTTTTATGTTTCAGCCTGTTAACTTGCCTGAGTAGTTTGTCCGCAGCTGTTTTAACTGATGTTCTATTAATTACTGAAGCTAATAAATTATTCCAGAATAAACCCAAGTTTTATTGAAAGAAAGAATAATCTGATAAGCTCTGTCACTCCTATCACTGGTGACGTGGCACGTTAAACACGTGCAGCCTGTGTTCCTCCCCGCTGGGTCCGTGCGTTTAAGATGCACAGCTCCACAAAACCTCGTCGCTGTATGCGGCAAGTCTCCAGTGCTCTGTTTGAAGCAGGGCTGTGATTCACCCGAGGCCAAGCACACATTGTTCATGCGTCCCGGCTTGCCCAGGCGACTCCAGGAGCAACGCATCCGTCCTACCCGCTTTTGGCGTTTAAGGGAACTGCCTGCGTGCTCTTCACGGCGTCTCGGTGGCCTGCGCTCACTGGGGATGGCGGTGGCGAGTAGAAAAGACGTTTTGTTTCTGCAGCTGGAGAAGGGTGAGAAAATATTGCAGGCACTGCTCTTCCAAAACACGGGAAGTAGGGAATTTCGTGAAGGAGGAGGAGCAATAACCCTTCCTCTTTGCTTGCGTTCCTCAGTGCCCGATAGCCACAGCACTGATGGCGTGTTTCTGGGGTTCAACAAATGCTGGCGGAACAGGGAAATGGCTGCTACCTGCCACCAAACTGGGCAAAAACTAGGTGTGGGGATTTCAGTGAGAGCGCTGTGCTGCACCGGAGCACTGATCCACTGATCGGGAGAGCAGCGAGGTTGGCACGGGGCACCTGATGTTCCCTGGCATGTGCCTGAGGGGTCATTGGGACTGCGGGCAGGCTGGTCCCGTGAGGGGTTGAAGTGCAGTCGTCGGTCTCGAGATAACCAGGTAGCCGTGGGGTACCCGAGGGGTGACCAGTTTGCCTGCTGCGAGACTCCGGTGCAACGCGGAGCAAAGCAGGGAGGGTGTGCGTGGAGATTCGCTTCTGAAAGTTCGTTCCTGATCAGATAAAGACGTTGCTGTAGGCAAGTAAGGGCTTACTTCTGTCTCTTTTTTTGGCAGCATCAGTAGCAGTATCTAGGTGATGTGGTGCTTGGGCACCCCAATACGTGACATTTCAGACCATGAAGGAGCACAAAGAGAAGAAATTTAACTTTTGAAGACTATTTGTACCCATGAACACCTCTCGTGTAAGATACAGTTTTCTGTATTAATCTAATTAGCCTTTTCCAGACAGCACCAGGGGAGCGGGCTTGGGCTTTCTGTGTGGATTGATGTATCAGATAAAACATAATACTGCTTCTGTGGTGTGTTACCTAAAGTAAAGCAGTGGCTGTGCTCAGTGGCCAGTGATGAACTGGAAATAGGCACCTGACTGCCTGGGACTTGGGTGTGTTTGCCTGGTTATATGGCCATTGAAGCAAACCTTTCAGTAGGGTAAGAGCCACCTAGGTGTAACTGGCCATCTCTGGGCTGCATTTGGGCACCTTTGGGGTCAGAATATTCCACAGAGGAATTGACGGATTTCCACGTGTTCATAAAGTCAGTGCCCAGGCTGGCGTGGGTGATGGGCCAACACACCTGTTGACACGGTTTCAGCTCTGCGCTTTGTGCCACAAGGTGATGTGGACACTGAAGATTGGTTCAAAAATGCTTGGACAAAGCTATGGGGGAAGAAGAAGGGGGTTGACTGGGAATAAAATGACCTCCTTAAAGGCAAAGGTATCGCTTCTGCATTTGGGGTGTCCTTCAGTTGCTGGGAGAAAAACTGGTATGTGTACCTGCTCTCTGTCAGGGACCTGTTGGCCACTGTCAAAACCCAGGATGCTGGGACATTGGATGGGCCGCTGATCTGACCCAATACCACCATTCCCACCTCCTCTCCAAAGGGTCTTTTCCTCCAAGGCTATCCCCAAGCACCTGTAAAGAGCATGATCTCTAGTGTCCTTCCCAGGTGCTGCGTTTCGATGCACGTTGCCCTAATTCCGTGTTTATTTGCTGTGACGCTGACTGTGCCCAGCCCTGTAGAGGCGGTAGTGCTGTCGTAGTTGGTTTAAAGGATTTACCTTTCCCGAAGGATCCTTTCCTGCCTCTGCGCCCAGCAAACTGGCAGCTAACCCTCGTCACTTTGGCAGTGTCGGGAGCGTGCCTTGTTGTTCTCGCGGCTGCCAGGCGTGTTCACCCCGTCCTCGCAGAGAACACGTGGCCGTCGGCAGCGATGCGGCGTGCCCCGTCCCCGTCTGGTGGTTTAGACACTGAGCCTTTCTTCTACCAGGAGCAGGGCAGGACCGTGAACCTGCGTTTTGAAAGAGCGATGTGTTCCCAGCTTAAAACATTTTACCGGAACTTTAACTCGTGAACTCTGCTCACAGAGGATGGAAGGGGGGAAATCATTAGAACTTCATAATTTTTTAAAGCTAATAATCGCTTCTTTTAATATTTACTCCCCCCATACTAATTCCATATGTTTGGTTATGCTAGTCCACCATTTCACTTCAATTAGACCAGGAAAACCACTGGAGGCTTTGAAAAAAACCCAATAAAGTAGTGGTACTCCTGACAGTATCCCAACGGATTGGAGTAGCGGTGTGCTGGTTGGGCTCTGCAAGTTTTAAAGTAAATTCTGCATTTCAAGGCTGTCTTTGAAGCAGTTACTTCTTGGCTTCTATCTACAGGTAGTGCCCCTTCCCGATCCATGGGAATAGACGCATATGGCAGCGTGTTGCATATTGTGAAATAAGTTACATGTGTGTGCTTGCCGTCAGAAAAGGATGATTTGGTGGGTGCCTGCCCGCCGGAGCTCGTTACGGTGCCGCGTGGTTGCAGGATGCCTGTAGCGTTTTCTTTTCTATGCAGAACGTATGTGCCCGGTGCAGAAAGCCCTCGTAGGCCACACAGAAAATAAACATCTGCGGCCGTGGCGAGAGCATGCGCGCCGCGTGAGCTAGCAGCCAACACGCCCCGGGTCTGGAAGGTACGCGGGCCTGCGGATCCGGGCTGGCAGAACAGGAACGCGGGGGTTTCCCTGCCCTCCCCGGCACTGGGGGAGGGAAGACCTTCGGCATTGGCAGCGCTGGGCCCTGTGGGGCAGGAGCTCTGCACGGCGGAGGGAATTGGAAAGGCTGAGGTTATGTGTGAGGGTGTGCCCCAACGGGGTGAAAAACATGCTGAGGGCTATTTCGGTGAGGGTAGGGAAGTGTTGGCAACGTGTCCGTCCCGGTGACCCAGACCCTGCAGCGGAGCAGAGCCGCGTGTGGGCTGTGCTGGCTGGGGACCCTCGGCAGCGATCCCCTGGCTCCAGCACCACAGCTAATTTAGGCCTGGGCTTGGAAGTGCAGAGTTAGATCCCTGCACTGTTTGTACCTCTTACACCCAGCTCCCCCGCTGTGTTTGGGTGAGCCTAATGGTCATGGAAGCGTGAGGGGGGGCCGGGAAACCCGTCAGTGGGGAGCTTCGCCACAGCTGCGGACGCACGGAGGAGCTGCCGCGGCCGAGCGCAGCCTGAGGTAACGCGTGCGGCCCCGGGTTCGGTACCTGCTCCGGCAACAGAGAGGTGTAGATTGTGCAAAGGGGTTCGTCAAGTTTGATGTATGGTAAACCTGTAATAATTTAAAGGATAATGAAGTCCTCGCTCGGTATCTAGGAGGGCTGTTGCCCGCGTAGGAAGGTTCCCAGGAGTGAGCCGGAACAGCAGGGCATGCTCCACAGGAGGAGATACG